ACATTGTGATATGATTAATTTGGAATTTATTATAGGTACCTATTATAGGTCAATTTTTTGTTTATAAGACATATTATATACATATATAATATGTCTTATACATAGACTGACATACCGTCTCCGCTCAGAATCGTTTTTCTTATACAATGATATTATATCGTTGAATTCAAATTTAATATCATCCATTATACAGTGACCCACTTGTAACCTACTGTACAGCAGAGCGACATCCACTTACCCACCTTTTTTATATATAGTTTTTTGACTTGTGTGCTGAACGAAAATTATAACTTTTTTTATTTTATTTTTAAACTGAAAATAAAAAAAATTAAAATCGGATTAAAACATTTTTTTATGATGGCATCCATGTATGGGGAGTGCCAAGCTTTCCCAAATACGGACTGTACAAGCCTTCCAGTCTATTTCCCTTCGACAAATAACATCTGCGCCATGATACGTCTCAAACCTCTCACTACATAATTGTCTTTAAAGATTTTAAAATCAAAACAGCTAGTCCTTAAACAGCTAAAAATTACTATAAAAAATTCCACATCAAAACAATTAACCACACAAATCCATTGATTTCTAACTTAGCCAGTGAATTCATTCCAAAAAAACCCCCATATCGATTAAAAAGACACTGGTGTCGAGATCTATTATCCTGAATCCCGACCTGCATTAATTTAAAAAAAGAAATAAAATACTCTACCCCAAGTTAGAGGGTATCCACGATGGTGGGCCTCCCTCCTCAAGCAATTTATAGTGTTATGTACCTTATATTAGCTATCAAATTTACTTATTGTATTGTATATAAATATTACAGATTGTAAATAATCTATATTGTCTAATACAAATTTTTGAAAATTTAAAAATAGCTAATTCATAAATTTGGTTTTAATAATCTGTTGATTGTAAACATTTTTATCCAAGTAGGTAAATAAAGTGAGTTTTTTTTATAATTTTATTAAAATGTCAAAGTTTTAGTAGAACTAAGTAATATTCGGTAAGTTTAAAAGTAATAACTGATTAAAAATATATTTAAAAATTGTCATAAAGTACTTAAAAAAAGTTTATACTTTTTGAATTTAAAATGTTTTTTTCTTATAAGTGAACCAACTAATGAGATTTCAAAAAACAACAAAAAATAAATATTTTTTTACAACCAATATTTTCTTAAAACCTGCAGATTGTGACCAGATATACATTTTACAAATTGGCTTGTCTATATCCTTGTAGCGCAAGCGTCTATTAAAGGTATATAAAATAAAAATATATTTATTAGAACAAAATAGTAATTTCATTTGTCAGGTATTCTCGTTATATCTGTTAGTAGTATATACCTACTATATCTATACATTGTATAATAGTATAATACATAGTGTTATATAATAAATGTATAACTATCGCGACATAGACTCATGTGCAGGCTCTCATCTTAACATTTTTGCTGATATATCTATAGGTACTATAGCTGTATCTTCCAACTTAAAAAAAATTAAAACACCTAAAAATATGTGGACTACTACGTTTATTGACGTATCTCGTTAATAGACAAAGTCATAAAGATAATGCATTTGAACTAATCGTTATATTAATGTAAAGATTGAAACAAAATTTTTTCGATAACGCAATTTATATAATTCATTAAATAAAGTGATCGGACGTGTTTTCCATAAGCCCCTCATGTATTTAATATTATAACTATTTATATAACAACATTTATATTCATTTGTTGTTAATAGTTCCGCCCAGACTTTATTTTAGGTATATTTTATAATGTGTGCATTTAAATTTCTTGCGAACAGACATTAAAGATATATTTCACTCATAAAAATGGATTACAGTTCAATTACTACGATGACGAATAAAATCGCGGCTTCTTGAACAACGGGATTTGCGTTTTATAAAAAAAATATATAAAAAATCCGGCGATGTGGTGACACTCAGGAAAATATTTTGAACAACTCTGTGAAAAAAAATTGGAAAAAAGTACAATAGTATCGTCAGAAAATTGGAACTTATAAACAAGGCATGTTCTTTTATACATCATTGTATATTAGGATAATATATGGAACATTATAGGTATTATTCCCTTTCCTGCTCTTCATAATATTATTATTTTTCGTCATAATGTGTGCGGATCGCGGCTCATCTCTTGTCTCCGGCCACCCCTGTTGTATATGACAATATATTATACAGCGTGAGCACAATAAAGTATCATATCGATCACCGTACTCACGAATGATTACTATCGTTCATATTTTATTAATAAATCGCGAGGCGGTTTTCACCCGTCGTCGTGGGCGTGGGATGATGTGCGTTTAAAGCGTTTTGTTCCCAAACGGACGATTGAAACTTTGTTTAAAATAGTGTATGAAAAAATGTGTGTTGAAAACATGAATTTAAACAACCCCGGCCAGCGGGGGGTGCGTTTTGTGTGTTTGTGTGCGCGTGTAAACATTATGAGCGGAGGGGCGCGTGCAGAATAATTGCGCAGTGTAAAGAACACCGCTCGACGTCGTAACGAGACCGCCGCGCCATATAATACGACTAATATAACATCCCCCGTCACCGACCGCCAAGTTCACATTAGGTTATATTATAGTAAACAGTACTAATTTAATAATAATAATATTATAATGATGATAATTAATTGTGCGAGCGGCGTGTCTCGTGCTATATTATATAATATATATATATATAAATACATATATAGGTAAGTATGTCGTATATTAATATATATTGTGTGTGAGATCTTGCAACGGTCGCGTTTTTAAAAGAGTAAAACAGAATGCTGTGGGACAGCTAGTGATACGATTAGATTACGGAAGAAAAGCGGGGTGGGCACAAATACGTGCCGTCTGTTAAGCCCTACTCATATCTCGAAAAAAAACTATGTTTACATTATACGATGTGATTTTTTCCAGCACTATTTTCTTGTGCTTAAATTATACGTAATATACATATATTCAAATTCTGATTTTTTAAATTTTTAACTTGATTTTTTTTGTACCACATTAAGAATGATTTTGTGACCAATACGTCATACTTCTGTTTTTCAAAGGATAATAATATGTCTATGCGTAATTATGGGGGCTTAGATGATTTGAAAATGTTAGTAATAACTATTGATCTATCAATATAAATACTTTGTAAAAATGGACAAAGTATAATAAATACCACATTTAGATAGGTAGGTACATCAACATTTTCAAGAAAACTATCCGATAAATAATTTGTAATAAAAAACTTGGGTATAGTTATTTTAAAAATAGAAGTTTGTATCGCCACACTACACTATCCTTAATTACTCAATTAGTATAAAAATATCAGGGATTTGAAAATATGGTCTTTAGGTATACCTACATAAAAATTCTAAAAATTAGAACTTTAATAAATGCAGGAGAGAAAAATAGGTGGAGAGCAAGCTTAAAAAATCACCTTGTATGAATATATCAGTTTTTTTTAATTGCAGATTTAGCGTACACTCGAAATATTACAATTAATACGAAAATACGATTTACAATCTAGTGCGAACTCAAAACGAGATCAACTTATTATACGTTTCGACAACAACGGTCGTGTTTAATATAATATTATATTATACCTACCACCTACGTAAATAAATAATTATAGTGATGTCATGAAGTTGCTTTCGAGAGTTTATCTATTTAATTTCAAAATGTAAATGTTAACGTAATGATGATATACTATAACATTATCGTGAAAACTTATAAATTTATATGAAAATGATTTCACAATGATTCCGTTTCAGCCACATAAAAATGTCGATGAAATGGTGAACAAACAAATTGATTCCTTATCATCCACACTTCCCCGAGCTTAACAAAGCCTATAGGTTATTTGTGGTATTTATTTGTATACCTCTGTGGTCTTGTGAATTGATTTTTTCAGGTATAGGGTTCGTATATTTATCTTGATGCGATGTTATTAATAAGAGATCAAAGTATATAATATTATTTATGATTTACTGTCTAGTTGATTTGCACGTCAATTTCAATTGAATACAAAACAATTTAAGCACTTAAACTTACTAACTGATTTATGATTAATATTAAACTGGCCATAAAAACAGTTTATTTATTTAGATTATATAACTTTTTTATTCATAAATATGTTGATACAAATAAATCGTACAATATGAGTTGACTACAATATTAAAAGTTACCTATAGGCTATAATACCTAAGAGGAAAAAATCGAAATGAAGAAAGTGCATATTCGTATTATAGATGTAAGTACAATATCGTAAATGAAGAAACATTTTAATTTTGATTCTAGATGAATTGATCGACATGTTGTGTATATCTATGCGGTGAACTTTAAAAAAAAAAAAAAAAACAGTTAGCGTAGTGTCCTTAGAATTTTCTATGAAGCATTAAATAAAAAAAATCGCGATTGGACTCGTGGCGTAGAAACCAGTGAAATCGGGTGAAAACATTTCCTATAAAAAAGTTTCCGTCGAGAATTCGCACAATCATGGTGAAGATATGAAATGTTTTACCACGACCGGCCGTTGAAAGTTTACGACCGTAAAAAACTTGAGCAACGGGTTTTTTTCAATATACCTACTTGGAAGCCAACGGCTAAATAATGATGGTAAAAGAACTTTATACAGTAATTAAATACTATAGTATAACATTTAATTTTTCATAATATTCTTAGAATATTATGAAGTTCACAGTATTATTAATGTTTATACTTTATAATATTATGACTTCCATGAATACTATAATCACGTTGTATAAATGTAGGTACTATTAGTATAAGTTTTCATTACATCGTATTTATACTGTAGGTATCTGGTATATGATAATATTATAGTATAATTAAAATGCGTCTTTCCGGGTTACAGAATATTTTTCACTGACGATACGGTTTTGAGTAATATAAACGTCTTGTACACGAGTATGATTATTATCACAATATTATACTACATTACTATGTATATATTAGTTATATTATAATGTAGGTACTCACAGTCCACGCTGACTTTTATCCGTTTGCTGACCGACGGGGGCACAGAATTTGTGGCGATGCACAGGTAGGCGCCCATGTCCAGCCGACTGATCCGATGCAGTTCCAAAGTGGGTTCCTCCCATTCGCTCACTTTTAAATAATAATATAAAATACATGTTTTAATAATATACGACCAACGACGACCTATATAAACAAATAAAAACGGATCCGTGCGGGACGAGGTATAATAAAACGGGCAATAATAATAATAATTGTAGCACTGAAAACTTATTTCAGGGACGAGGGAGTTAGCAAAATGCGGGGACGTGTTGGTCGGGGCGGGGAGGTGTGCAGGTATGGAGATAAACTGCGTATGATATATATATATAAATATTATATTTAGCTGATAACGTTGTCGCGACAAATCTTATACACGCGCGACAGTATTATAAGTTATATTATATAAATACGCCTTGGGATGGATATATAGGTATATATTATAGGTGGTACAGCGAGTGGTACAACAGTAGTGGTAGCGGTGGCGGCGGAGGTGGTGGGTTTACGCGTGAGGCGAACTTTTGCCGGCCCTCGCGTTTGAAAAGTTTTCGGATTCCTTTGTGTGCGACGCAGGACTACGGCCGACTGTATATATACACTTTCAATGATTCATTGCTACCAATAAGGATTGTCGCTATTAAAATGTCCCACCCTCGCCGGATCCGTCCGCGTGTTATTATTGTTGTTCCAATTAAATGGGGCCCGGGAAGAGAATAAGACTGCAAATTCCGACTTGTAGCGTCCCGATCGGCAGCCCTCCCCTCAAAAACATTATTATTATTATTATTATTATACTTGTATATATATATATATATATACATAACCTGCGGGAGAACGATAATTATTGTTGTTAACGTTTAATATTTCCATTTGTTTCCGTAGGTATTGTGAGCTCATGGGTGTCGATGCACGGGGGCAGAGGGAGGCAGGTGGGCGAGGAAGAAGACGTGCGCCTAAAACTTTTGACCGCCGCCGCCGATGGGACTATCTCCACCGCGTGGTTAGTATAGTGCTTTTGTTGACTGCATATAATAATATTACGTTTAAGTACAGATATTCTGTGGTTTTGTATAAATATAATATTATTATATTGTGCTGTACAGGTAAACGTAATGATAGATATTATATTCGCATATTATATGAACGAATGCAAAATATTCTATAATTCTAAGATTAGATGCGCATTTTATAATTATATCTGCAGATGGCCATAGTTATAAAAATTCGTACCGTTTAAGGTCTTGTTGATGTTGATTTGCAGACCGTCGTCACGTTTCCATTTGATATCTGGTTTCGGGTAACCATCCACGTGACACGTCAACGACACATTTGCTCCTTCTCGAACTATTGCATCTGAACTACTCAACGAGTCGGAAATCGACGGTGGTACTGTTGATACAAAATTATAAAACAATTATTATAATATTATAAACGACCACTATTATATCTTTAGTAAAACATTTATAATTCTATAGTTAATTTTTCTTTTTTTCCAAAAAAAAAACAGCAATGTCTCTGAGTGCAATAATAATTAACCCAGAGGCGTCCGCAGGGGGGGGGGGGTAACGGGCTGAAGCCCCCCCCATTTCCCGTATTATTATTACTTTAAAAAAAAATATATTTATCAAGTTTCAACAGTCAATACTATAGTAAGCAAGACGTCAATTTCATACATGTCTTACCAGAATGAATTAATTTTTGAAAAAAACATTGTATTTGCCAATTTTCATACCAATTACATACCAATTTTCATGCACTATCTGTAATTTTTCTTTTATGAACTAATTGTATTAAAGAACTTGTATTAAATTGTCAAGCCTTAGCTATACAGGATACACATTTAATATTTCATAAGTTTTGAACTACAAATTAACTGTGGTTTTGACGAAATTTGAACTTTAAATACTTATAAAATATAACCATAATATATAATAATATATAATAATATACCATAATAATTTTTTTATCGATATTTATGGAAAAAAAAATTTTTAACTAATCAAATACAATCAAAGTGAGGACGGTATAACCAAGCTGGTTACCAAACTATTTTAATAAATTTTCATTTTTTCTCCAATTATTTTAAAATGCACTGAGCATTTTCAATTTTGACCTCCTAAAAGTACCAACTAGATCCAATTTGCTTCCAAAAACATACATCGGGCATCGAACCTTATGATCAGAGCATTTTTTCTACCAGAAAAGTTGAAAAGTTACAAACATTTTAAAATACCTCAAATAAACGTCTGAAATTATTAGACTGGACAGAATAAAAATAAAAAATTTCAAGCCCCCCCCCCCTATTGAAAAATCCTGCATACGCCACTGAATTAACCATTATCAGTACATTGGTACTCCTGGTAGTCGGTTGGTACAAAACAAGGAGGGATGTTGGTAGTATGGCAAGTGAATGAGTGATATAAAAATAAACGTTTAGGTTTAACTGATAATGTAAAAGAAAGAAAACAAACATTTTACATTAAACATTATCGGTGGTTGGTGGGCATTATAGTTACCTCTGTTACCTCACCCCTAAGATATTCCACTAAGTTAGATGCATACTATAATATGATATTGGATACAAATCGTAATAAATATTTTTGACTTAACATATTAAGTCAAAAGTATTGGTTTAAAAAAATAATAATATTACAATTATTGGTTAATTATAAATGAAAAATGAATAGTTATACACATCATAATAATATATGCAGATATATATATATATATTATAATAGAAATAATCAGGATATTATAATATTGTGCTTACACTATTTTGGATTAATGAAACAGCGTATAATTACTATAGGTAAATCATAATAATGCTATATTATAACTTTGATATTTGTGTTCCGTTCAGTGGTGAGATGCCCTTGATTTCTATAGTTCTCGTGTATACCTTAAATAGTAATGCTCCTTAGGTGGAAGGGGGAGGATTATAATCCTTTAAACCTTTTTTATAATTTTTTAAAAAGTACTTAGTATACATAATTGGTTTTTAGTTTGGTGTCTTAATTTTCCATAATTATATACCTAACTGGCTAACTATGTTAGTATACCACATATTCATATAAATATAAATTTAAATATATTTTGAACTTAAAACATAACAAATATTTACATTTATGATATTTTGTTCATTTATCATGTTCTGTACATTAAACTATGGTCTATATTAATATATTATGCATCGATTTGTCGGAGAATGATAATATGCACCAACATATTCCATTACCGACAAATGGATTATGTATAAAATAATTCTTACCGGCCTACGTTCAAATATATTCTATTATTATTCAATAACACGTTCAAGCGAAACACGTTCAAGATATCATAATATTATATAGAGTAGGTCAAAAGTAAAAAATACTGTATGGACTACTAAATACTAATATTGTAAAACTGGTAGGTAGGTATGTATAATATATAATATATACACCTATAAATTCGAGTACTACTTGTTAAAAATAAAAATCCATTTCGACATCAGTGATGGACCGTAACAGTCGATAAAACGATTATCAGTAGAGATCAGATCTCAGCAAACTTCACACTAAAAAATGGTCTGATTATTTGTTTGGTAGGTAGGTTACCTATATAAAGTGTCGGAAGGACTTGGTGCGGATACCATATAATATTGCTCCGTCGTTTCAATCTATTAATTGCTCGTTTTGTTATAACTTACAATCACGATTTCCACGCCAACAAAACATTGTCGTAAATTTCGCGAAATACGTTTTAACGAAAAAATATAATAAATAAAAATACGACATAAAAAATGTAATTTGATGTTTGTCCTTGAATGTTTTCACATAATAAATTCCACCTGCTACGTACAATAATACCATTAAATGAAACATATACTGTGATTTGATATCCATTATAGTCCAGGGCTTGAAACCGCTCCTGAAGAAACAGGTTACCGGGTCCGATAAGACCCGGAAAATTTTTTGGAACCGGTTACCGGTTATCGAGGTTTTTAGAAATAATGATAATCATTTCCCGCTTACCGAAATAAATTTTATAAATGGGATTACCGGTTATCTATTTGGAAGCGGTTTTAAATCTTCAAAATTACCGGTTACCTCACAAAACCGTTTTTTTTTTTTTTTTGTTTTAATACCTACTCTATTTTTTTTCATCAAACTTAACATGTTTAGTATAGTACTACACAGTTTTGTTCAGTATTACTATTATTAAATAATGAATATCAAAACAGTCCCTGATTATAAGTTATATAACCTACCTATTACCTAGTACTTGGTACAATATCGTACATGCAAGAGTTATATACTATTATATATAATATATGTATCAGCCCGCATTCGTCGATGTTTCTACCATTCGTATCAGTATTCAGTACCTATATCATAGGTACTGACTAGGTACTGAGAATCTTTTGTTAGTGCGCCGATACGATTCCGCAATCAAACACGCTTGTTTTGGTATTTTTAAATTTTAATACTTAGTAGTTCTAAAATAATCTATTTTAGTATTTTATAAATATTATTTTCTTCTATTTAGAATATTCAATATAATTTAAAAAAAATTATTTTTAAGTTAATTGGTTTGAGATTTACGGTTTTGTATACTTCCGATTAATTAACCGGTTCTAAAAATAAACGGTTACCGTTATAGATTTCCCCCTTTATCAAATTCCGTGATTACCGGTAATTGATAACCGCTTCTCAAAATTGAAACTCGAGAACCGGGAAGCGGATACCAGTCCAAAAAGTACTCATGGTAACCGGTTACCGGGAAAAATCGGTTACCGGTTTCAAGCCCTGCATTATACTATTATAATATTATATTATATAAACTGCATTTTTATCTAATAAACTTATTTTTTATTTTAAAAAGAAGACGAATCGCGACCCAATTTTAAAACTAAAAAATGGGTAGCAAACTACCGGTTAAAGACCACTACATTATACTATAATACTAAAGGTATAAAAAAGGTTAGGAAAGCTAAACTTTTTTTAAACATCAATTGTATTCATTACATTTATACATTTTTAAATTAATCAAAAATGTTGTAAATCTGAACTCTATAGGATCAAAAAACTAACATATGTTATAAATATAAAATTGTAAGAATTTACTTTTAGATTTTTTAGATCTGGTCGTTATATCATGTATTAATTTAAACGAGCATTCAAATAGGTAATAATAGGTACTTGTTTTTTTTTTTTTTTTTTGTTATTAATTAACCAGCCATCGGGTGGTTTTAACTGTGGGGGTGGGTATTGTAGGTGTAAGAACGTGTGTGTTGTTTTTGGCAGATTTTTTAGTGGACAATCATAGGTATCTGCCATGCTCGGGTGGGGGATGGCGTCACTTCTCTCCGGACACCATCACTTGCCAGAAGAAAAATGCCACCCGCGGCCGAGGTTTTGAACTGGCGTCGGTGTGTGTCGCAACCGACGCCTTAGTCCACTCGGCCACTCCGTCCCCTAGTAGGTACTTTTGTTACCGAAAAGGAATAATATTTATAAGCATCAACATTCTTTGTATTATTTTAACATTAATTTAGAAAAAAACCATCGTAAATATGATCATTTTATCAGAAACACCAATAGAAATTGATAATACTTGTGTAAAATAATTATAACGAAGATATATTATTTCCGACAAAATAAGTGGATTGATGGAAAATATAAGCTATAAAATTTAGAGGGATGCCATCCCACCGTATCCCGCACTTCGAAAACTGGTTTCACCCTATATGTTACACATAAGTACCTTCATAGTTTATATATATAAGCAATATATACATAATACATATTATATAAACATATATTTATATATATATAGTATGCATACCTAATAATTTAAAAACCTATTATATTCATTGATATAAATTAAATTCAAATCATATATAGTTCATTATAATATACGTTCCTAGGTAAACACTAATTTATGAATATTTAATTTGCTGTGCAACAAACAGAGCTCAAATACTTTATTTGAAGTTAATATATACATACTACTGTACATACTATGAATGATTTGGTTTGATTATAATTTCTTAGAATATTACAAAAAAATACTTTTTACAGGCAGCACATTTTTTTTGAATGTTGATTACGATATTAATTACCTATTACAAACAACTCGAAGTGAAACAAAATATCCAAAAACGTTTTTATCACCGATGACAATAACAATAACAGTGCTAACAACCATAATATAATATAATAAAATTTTCTATTGATAGCATTGATAGCATTATTAATTGTATAAACTGTCGGACGACGACCTCCTCTGCTCTCGAATAACCGCGAATGCGAGGTCCTTGGTTGTAGCCGCGAGGCATCAAACGTGGTAGTCTTCGTGTATAAACTAAATAGGTATGTGTAATGTGTATATTATAATACTAGGTGCAT